CCCCAAAACCCCAAAACCCCAAAACCCCAAAACCCCATGTTGAAGATATTGTTTTATTCCTTTGTAATCAAAATGTTTAAATAAATATAATAAAATAGGAATATTATTTATTTCTTATGGAAAGCAATAGAAATTAGAAAGTTAATACTTCAAATCAGAGTGATGATGAAACCATGAAAAAGCTGACCATCCCTATTAAAGAATCCTTCGCCTAAAAAAGTATTAAACCAGTTGTAAATTGAACTAATATAAAAACGAAGGAACAATAAAATCTCGAGGGAATTCATGTAATAATAGTATTTGCTTAAATATTTACAACAGACGATAGTATAAATTCTGAGAAAATAGCCAGATTAAAGATCAGAAAGGGACTTACAGAATATGGTGCCTCTAATAAGAGAAATAGCATTTTTCAAGAGAATGAATATTTAAGGACCTGATCTAAGTTAGATTTGTCATGAACTAAAATATGAGTTTTACCGTGAAGGAGAGTCAGTTTTTCGTTAAGGAGAGTATGGAGATAAGTTTTATATTATTCTGAAAGGAGAGGTTTCAGTTAAAATTCCTGATCCTAAAAGAAAAAATGAGCCTTAAAAACCAGGAGAATAGTAGAAGCAGTCTGTGGCTTCTTCAGCAACGTAGCGTAGAGAAAGTGTATTAGTCACATAGGCTACTCTTTCATTTCAAAGAAAAAATACATTAACATCGACTTAAACTTTAAAGTTGCCTAATACTAAAGATAATACATTTTTAACTGCACCTGCCTCTCATACAGAGATGACACCTAAGCCTCAATTGGAAGCTCTTACACCTGCAGCAAGAAGCTTACATTAATTTGCAGAAGAATAGAAAAAATAGAGAAGACATACTATGAACTTTATGCTTGGTCCTACCAAATTAGGTCAGACCAAGCCAAATCAAGTCTCTTCACTTTTGAAATAAAAAGATTCTCAGAGTTAAATTGTAGAAAACGAATATGAGGAAAGCAATGAAGACTCGAAGGATTAAACGTTATCTGATGTTTCTCCTCTTGGTGATATTGAGTCTGAGGAAGAAGAAGAAGACTAGGAGGATGATGAAGATATCAAAGTTATGCAATCTGTTGAAGAGTAGCAAGATTTAATAGCTAAAGCACTTGAAGAAGATGAATTCCTCATATAAGTTGCAAAGTTAGTTGATGGTTCCTCTTTTGGTGAACTGGCATTACTTGAATAAAAGCCAAGAGCAGCAACAATTAGGTGCTTGCAAAATTCACATTTCATGGTCCTTACTAAAAACGATTATGTCAAAGTTATTGGGAAAATAGAAAGGAGGACCTACAACGAGAAGATTAACTTTCTCAGAAATATACCTGTATTCTAGTTATTAACAAGAACATCGTTAGGGAAAATGACATATTACTTTGATACGAAAAATTGCATTAGAGATAGTATCCTCTACAAGGAGGGAGATAATGCAGAATTCGTTTATATAGTTAAAAAAGGTGAATTAGAGGCAACTAAAAAGATTCTTCATACTGGCCCAAAAGCAGAGAATATAGAAGAGATTTTAGAAAATCCATTGAAAGCAAACAAACATATGAACAATTTATTCAGCAAAAATACGTTAAGGCAAGTTGAAAGAATTAATGTAAACAATTTTGATATAATAAGTTTTATAGCTATTCATCACTGGAATAAGTTAGCTAATAGGAGACGAGGACGTTGCTTTAAATTCTACATTATATTAAACTACAATCAGATGCATTAGCTAGACAGGAGAACTGATTAGAATAAAGCGAGAAGATTTTCAAAGACTTCAAGCATAGGGGCCTACTTGGAATGAGATATTAAAATCAGTTACAGAAAAAAAGAGAAAAATCTAATTGTGCCTTTTTCAAACTAGAGCATCAAAAATAAGAATCGAGAATTAACTCGAACATGATACTAATATAATTAAGGATCAAATAAAAAATGAATTACTTGCGAATCCTATAAAAGATAATTCAGCCAAGAAAGCTCGCACCCATCAAAATTCAATAAATGCCTCTGTTGATTACACCAAATACAGCAACTAAGGTTTAAATTTTAAAGATTTGATTCAAGCATATGCGAATAAATAACAAACAATTGAAACTCATCCTTCTTTGGAAGATACAGCTACAGTTCATACTAAATCTTTCTTAGACCCAACTGTCAATAGCAGCCTACCCACGATTGTAGATAATAAGAGGATATTTTAGTCTTTACATATGGCACATATGTCTAAGAGTAATGATAGAAATAAAATGTCCTAGACAATTAGACTGAATGCCAACAGGTTGAAAACTCTGAAACCTCAAGCTACTCTATTCCCGGTCACTCTGAATGCTAAACTTTTTAACCAAGATAATGCACTTATATAAGATTTTCACTAAGGGCCGCCCTCTGTTATATCCAAGTATAATTAAGTAATAAACCTATAATCCAATGAATTTGCTTTCAGAAGCTCCTCCTAGAATAAATCCAAGTATTGAATCAGAAAGAGACTAGAACGCATAGGTGTATCACAGAATTATCCTGAGGAAAATTTGAGAAATTTAAATAAATTAGAGGGGTCGCTGGAGAAAAAAAATAGCCTTAGCTTTACACTAAATTCTAACTTAATTTCGGAAAGATCGACATTTAATAGAACGACAGTTGGCTCTAAAGCTGTGAGAAATGAAAGACAGCAGAGGACATTATAGGGAAATGATTCATACGTAGTAATTAAACAGAGACAATTATATAATGCCAGAAATTGACAAAATTTTAGTCTGTATCATTTGTAGTCATTAAAGTATAACAAAAATATTAATAATTACCTCAGTATAATAACTTTGATTAATTTGAAGAGTTATTAAAAATTAAAAATACTCAATACTTTATTTATTTTTATAATGAATTAATATTGGCTTTAATATTTTAACTTCTTATAAAAAACCGTAATAAACTCAAATGAGAAATAATCTTTATTAATTTTTGATGATGATCAAATATCTGGAGCAGCCTCTTTGATTCTATTACTGCTGGCTTTAATCTTTTCTATATTTGTACAAGATTTGAGTTTATTTAATCTTAATGGAGATTTATCTATTGATAGATATATTTGACTTTTTCTTGATAATTTATTTCGCTTGCAGTTGAAATCGGGTACATCTTTTATTCTCAATGCACCCTCCTCAAGACTTTCTTAATCCCAATATTTCTCCTTTATTTCGACTTCAAGATTCATACAGTTCTTGTTTACATCATTAATGAACTAGTCATATTCAGCATTCTCAGAAGGTATATCCTCGATAGAATTTTCATCGAGACTCTAATTACTTTAGTTCAACTTTGGATCGTCACTCTAAAATTTTTCATTCGAAAATACTGATCCTTTTGGATTGTAATCAATCTCATTTTATTGGTAATTGTTTGAATTAGCATTTATTTCTACTTCATTGTTTATCGCTTATAGAATTTGCTTTTAAGAATGCTTCTACTTCTTTCGAGTGTTGCTTTTTTTACTTTTAGGCAACATTTTTGTCCCACTTTCATTGAATTCTATCTTAGATGTCTAAGATTTTTATTGATTCAATCCTAGTTCATCTAAGTTTTAATTGCTTACCTGACTTACACCTTTTTTTAACCGTTTTACATGCCTTATTTTTTTTTTATGGCCATTACTCAATTGATCCTTAAAAGTATGCTATAATTCTTTTGCTGTCAAGTTAGCGGATATTATATCTTATGTCTATGTGTTATGATCGATCTTAGCAGAAATTTAGTTAACAATTATGTTTATTTTTGTAGCATCATTAGAAATCAGATGTACATTATCCCATTTCACATAATCATCAAAATTATTTCTTTCTTTAATGGAAATCAATAGACTTTCAATATATTCGTAATCCGGCTCCTCATCAAATTCCAATTTTTATGCATACTCTAGAATTTCTTTAAACTCAGCTAAAAAAGACTTAATTAAATATAATTACGATCTATATTCTGGCAAAGTTCTCCCTCTGGATCTCTCCAAGCATAAATCTTATATTTGGCAGTTTCTGATTTTAAAAAGTCTAGATTTAACAGACCTTTCCAGGGTAGAGTTCCTTTTAAACAATATATTAGTATATATACCAGTGACTCTAGATCATCTCTTCAACTTATCTCTAAAGTTAAAGATTAAAAAGTTATTTACCTTTTCCTAAGAGGGCATTATTTGATGCGTATAAAGGAGTTCCAAGTATTTTCTTGGTACTTTTATTGGGAATATGCGTTTGATATTAACTCATGTATTTATTTGATAGACCGAAATCTATCAAGACAATTTCGTTAACCGAATGATTGATCATTATATTTTTAGGCTTTAGATCTCTATGCACTATTCCATTATCATGCAATGTCTCAATTCTTTAAAGCTAATAATTGGGATAATGAACGCTGTTATAATATTTACAAGTTCTATCCCAAGATTTACCACTACTTAAAGACATAATGCACCATTTTAAGATTTTTTTACTATTGAACTTAAATCCTCGTCAATTTTCTTCATTACTATGTAAATGAGATCAGATTCCTCATCATATCCATTCTCTATTATTTTTGAAAACCCTATTAAAATTGTATTTCAAAATTTTTGAATATACCTTATATATTTCTCAGTTTAAGTAAAATCTCTCTTTCTTGATTATAGAATGCAGTTTAAGATTTACTGACCTTAGGTCTTTTTCCTCCAAACTAATAATATTTAGGCTATTATAATTTGTAATATTACTAATTTTATTGCCACAGATTAATTAAGAAAAGTGTCATAACCTATGTAAAGTCCTATTTTTGACTTCTTGCAGGTGAGATTAACTCTCAGTCTGAATCTTTTTTGCAATATTACCTCTTGCTCCTTGCTTTTCTATAACAAGTCTGAAACACCTTCGACAAGAGGACTGAGTCCTTGTTTTTTATTCCTTTCTATCGGAGTCTAAGTCAAATTATTTAACACTTTTGAATTATATTACATTGTCTTGAGACCTTGAATTTTCTAATCCAACCATAGAATTTAACATGGAGAAACGAGTCTCTTTTGTATTAATGTTTATATTTGATAAATTATTCTTTTGTACTGGTCGTTAGTTTGTTTTGAGGGTTTATTCCATTTTATATCCTCGACAAATATTATTAATATTTTGATTTCTTATCAACATCACTTTATTTATTATCTTATTATCCATCACGGGGTTTTGGGGTTTTGGGGTTTTGGGG